GAGATGGTGTGTGGGGGGAGGCTGTAGCCACGCCTTCTTAGGGGCTGGCAACAAGAGTACCTGAGGGCTTGTGAGGGCGTGGTCAGAGTGAGTAGGGGGACTGCATTTTCGGTTTCGGTTTCTTTTTGCTTCTTGCTGTACAGACTACCACCGGCTGGCTGGTCCGCTCTGTAAGTAAGGCTTTTCCCTATTAAATACCCTTATATTTCTACCTGACTCCGTATTGGTAATTTACTACTATACTGGGTAGCCAGGCCCACAGTGGATAATACTACAAAGATGAAAATTCTGTTCATGAAAGAGAAGCAGAAATGGTTCTGGGGATTTCACCTTTCTATTTGGGTCAGTAGCATCAGATCTTCTGGATGTCTCAGTTTTATGGGACTGTTACGCTTTTATTTTCCAACCAACTTGAGTTTCTAGTCCTTCATCATGCAGCCTTGCTCTTTCATCCATTCCGAATTTGGTTGAGTGAAGAATTCCAGTGTGTTGGGTTGAAGAAACCTCAAAACTTAAAACTCAATAGTAAAATATGCATATTATTTTGTCTTTATCAAAACATTTCTTACACCCCCTCTCACAGTTATAAAAGCTTTAAACAAAGCCTAACGAGTGTGGTACAATCATTCCTGCAATGCTAATTGAGCCTCGTTCAGGAAGGATGCAGGCTTAACTACAGCTGGTTATCAAAGACCCCCATCAGATTATTCACAAGCATTGCAGTCGTTTGTATGTCCTGTATTGTGATGAGCACTCATTATGTAAATTAGACTTATAATCGCTTGCTCACACATATCCCATTTTCAAGCGCCCACAGAAAACAACACAGAGGCCTAGTCCAGACTATGCTGTGACCTCCAGAAAGTCCACCAACTGTGTTTGAAGCTTGGTTGAGTCATACCTCACTCTGTGATGCTGGCCTCTGTGACCACCGTTCCATTCACTAGTTCAGAAATTGTGTGGATAAAGATTGATGACTCAGAAAAAATAGGAGATCGCCTACCAGAAGAGCCTAAGGTGCTGAGTGTGCTGTGGAACTTGCAGCTGTGTTTGCTTTGTCTTCATTCAATCCTTCTTCATCTTTTTTTTTGTGTATGTGAGTCAATACTCTTGTTGACAAGTGACAAATCTGACCCATAGTGACATAATCAGGAGAAGAGAACTGCTGTCTTCAGTGATGGAAGCATCCTGGGGTGGGCCTGGCTTCCAGAAAGAGAAAGCCTAGAAATATGCACAGTGCCCCCAGATGGATTCATTTCTGTCTCTTAACTCTGCTATCTTCTAAGGCCATTCTCAAGCATAGTTTCCTGGTATGGTGGGCCTCAAATTCATATTCTTTTTGTTTGTTTGTTTGTTTGTTTGCTTATTGTTTTTTTTGTTTTTGTTTTTCAAGACAGGGTTTCGCTGTGTAACCCTGGCTGTCCTGGAACTTGCTCTGTGGACCAGACTGGCCTCAAACTCAGAACCCAGAGATCTGCTTGCCTCTACCTCCAGATTATTGGGTTTGGAGTAGATACACCTGCTGTGAAGCCTGACAAACTGGGTTCAATCCCTGGCACCCACCTGGTGAAAGAGAACCAACTCCCATAAATGGTCCTCTGACTCTTATCTGGCACTATGGTACATGGGT